AAAGCAGCTCCTTAAGAAGATTCTGAAGAAGCTTCTAAAGAGTATTCCAAAAGAAGCTTCTAAAGAAGATTCTAAAAGATGCTTCTAAAGAATTAGAATTAAATATATGATTAAATAAGCTTCTAAAGGAGTTTCTAAATTAAGCTTCTAGAGAAGATCCTTAAATAAGCTTTTGAAGAAGATCACAAAAGAAGCTTCTAAAGCAGATTCTAAAAGGAGCTTAAAAAAAGATTCTAAAAGAAGCTTATAAAGAAGATTCTAAAACATATTCTAAAAGCAACTTCTGAAGAAAATCCTAAAATAAGCTTCTTAAGCAGATTCTAAAAGATGTTTCTAAAGAAAATTCTAAGAGAAGCTTCTAAAGAAGATTCATAAAGAAGCCACTAAAACATATTCTAAAAGCAGCTTATAAAGAAGTTTCTAAAATAAGCTTCTCAAGAAGATTCTAAATGAAGCAAATAAAACATATTCTAATAGAAGATTCTAAAAGCAGCTACTAAAATGTATTCTGAAAGCAGCTTATTAAGAAGTTTCTAGGAGAAGCTTCTCAAGAAGATTCTAAAAGAAGCTCCTGAAATATAATCTAAAAGAAGCTTCGTAAGGAGATCCTAACAGAAGCTACTAAACATATTATAAAGCAGCTTCAAAAGAAGGTCCTAAAAGAAGCTTCAAAAGAAGATTCAGACAAAAGCTATTAAAACATTTTTTTAAAGCAGCTTCTAAAGAAGATCCTAAAAGAAGCTACTTAAACATATTCTAAAAGCAGCTTCAAAAGAAGTTTTTAAGAGAAGCTTCTCAAGAAGATTGTAAATGATTGTAATAAAACATATTCTAAAAGCAGCTTCTTAAGAAGATTCTGAAGAAGCTTCTAAAGAAAATTATAAAAGAAGCTTCTGAAGAAGTTTCTAAAAGAAGTTTCTCAAAAAGATTCTAAAAGAAGCAAATAAAACGTATTCTAAAAGCAGCTTCTTAAGGAGATTCTAAAATAAGCTACTAAAATATATTCTAAAAGAAGCTTCCAAAGGAGCTCCTCAAAGAAGCTACTAAAACATATAATAAAGGCAGTTTCTCAAGAAGATCCTAAAAGAAGCTTCTTAAGAAGATTCTTAATGATGTTTCTTAAGAAATTTCTAAAAGAAGCTTCAAAAGAAGATTTAGATAAAAGCTATTAAAACATATTTTAAAAGCAGCTTCTTAAGAAGATCCTAAAAGAAGCTACAAAAACATATTCATAAAGTAGCTTCAAAAGAAGTTTCTAAGAATAGCTTCTCAAGAAGATAGTAAAAGAAGCTAATAAAAGAAGCTAACAAGCAGCTTCTTAAGATGATTCTGAAGAAGCTTCTAAAGAACATTCTAAAAGAAGCTTCCGAAGAAAATTCTAAAATACGCTTCTAGAGAAAGAAGCCTTTAAAAAGGTAATTAAAGAATCTTCTAAAGCAGAGTCTAAAAGATGCTTCAAAAGAAGATTTTAAAAGAAGCTGATAAAAAAGATTAAAGAAGAAACTACTAAAACATATTCGAAAATCAGTTTCTAAAGAAGTTTCTAAAAGAAGCGTCTTAAGAAGATTCTAAAAATCGCTTTTAAAGAAGATTCTTAAATAATTTTCTTCAGGGGAAGCTCACCGGTCCAAAAATTTAACTGCGTTTCGATTTTTCTAAAATTACTGGAAACAGATATAATAAATCTAAAAAAAAAATTTTTAAATTAAAAAAAAATCGCGTTTAAAAACATTTTTGTAAGTCATCGTGGCCTAAGCTAAATGCATCTCTCCAGCTTAGCTGTTCATCTCCAGATCCGAATCATCGGCTCGAATGATTCACTGAGATGACAGCTCTCGGACCCGTCCAGTTCTTAGGAACTTTTTTTCTTCTTCACGAGTCAGCTCCGGATCCGGATCTGAGCTGGTGATCTGGAGCTGAAGCCGAGAATAGAGAGAGCTCCGCTCCGCTAATGCACGCTAAGATCTGAAGACACCATTAGACTTATGATGTCAGTGAGCTGATGAGATGCGGCTCCTAAAAATGATCCAGTGGTCATCAGATGACTTTAATGAATCGGGTCTAAAGAACAGCTTGGGACCCGATCTCTAGATGATGATCCGGAGCTGAAGCCGAGAATAGTAAGAGCAAGTCTGCTGAAGAATTAACATCACAAATAAAATCTGTATGTAGACTGGATTCCATAGCTTGAGAAAAGGCGTAACATCGTGTAACACGATGTCGATCATATCATCACGTGTGACATTTGTGTCAAAATTTCTATAATTTAAAGGTGAGCTGAAGAGCTGTTCAAAAGAATCGAATCCCTTTAATCAGCTGGACGGGTCTGACCTGCTCAGCCAGATGAGCTATTTTGCCCACCTCTAGTTCACATAGCTACCAGTATCTTAACCCGTTTCTCATGCCACCGTTACCAATTCCAGAGCTAAGTTTTGACCAACCCTTTTGGCACTGAAAAAATCAAACACCTTTATTATAGGTTATAGATTCAAATTGAAAGTCATTCCTACTTGGTGAATTATGCTTATTGGCATCTGAAATCTGTGATAGGGAAATCTCTTTAAACCCACCGCAGAAACGCTCCAGTTAACAAACTCGGTTCACATTACTGAATTGCTATTCTGCAAAGTGAATCTTTATTTGGTAAAAATTAAAGGTATAAAGTGCATAAATTTCAACTATACGTACACATCTGGAGGCCACTTAAGTGCATGTGAAAAAAATACCCCGACATTGTATGATTTCATATGATTCAATATGATACTTTAGACAACTCCATGTTTAACATTATCTTGCATCTAATATGGTTATGTATATGCCAATATATAATTTAAAATGTTATTTGTACGACTTTCAAATTACATCCCTAAAATTATGGCAATCCATATAGTCAGACAAAAAAGCAAAAATCAAGAAAATATATCTTTTAAATGAACTTTCTATTTTCTAAAGTTGGTAGTGCCTGGTGATATTGGTTGGAATATAAGTCGGAAATTGAAATATTATGAGTTATCTTTTGAAATGATGAACACATTTAAAGTTTAAAGTCAATATTATCTGCAATACCTAGTTCCGAACCAAAGATCCTTAGCTCCGGAGTCCTGCTGCGATCCTCGGTGGCATATGAGCAGGTACATTCGGAGCAATAACATTTAATATTATGATGCCTCGCGTGTACACGTGATTAAATCTAATTCGATCTAATGTATTAAGGGAAATCCCAGGTAACATTCGAAGTTTAATCGAGGTTTTAAAGCATGCTACAAGTCTAAATTGTGGTCTACAGAACCCTCATAAAACCACAATTGCTACTTGGGATGGCCCTAATGGTGGCCTATAGATCTAAGATTGGGCCCATACACAAATTCAATAGCGACCAAAAATATCCATAAGTACCGTCCCAATGACGCGTTCATCTAGATACAATTGATAAATAGCAGATTTTTAGCGAGGGGCCCAATCTTAGATCCATTGGCGAACATTACAGCTACGTTTTTTTTTGCTCAATCTGTAGATAAAATACGTACAGAAAATTGATTGGATTCCCGCTAAAATGTTCTGTTCGCGAGATTTTTGCGATCAATTGCAAAATTTAGTCAAAACTAGGTGCTGAATTGTGTACTCCATTTTTGTGTTTGCTTGTTTCTAGCATTGTGAAGAAAGCTCTTTCTGTATTTCAAATGAAATTCATAAATAAAAAATACAAAAAAAAAAAAATAGATGCAAATATGCTGAAAATTGCGAATATGTTTACTCTCTTGAAGACCAACTGACCATGTTGGTTTAAATAATGTTAATCCACTGATAGGACTTGAAAGGATTTAGAAATCTCACTCCCTTTAAACAATTCAAAGGCGTTAAATGATTAACTTTTAAATCACCACTAATCACCAGCTCGAATCAAGCAACCGACAGAGCAAACAGTCTTGCAGTCGTAACGAATTATGCAACATTCGGTAGGAAAGTCAGTGAATTGTAATAGACTCGAACTGCACCGAGCGCAGCCCAGTAGGTACGAAATCTCCCAGCAATCTTAATAAAAACATCATTATTTAAGTATGCACATTTGTCTTGCAAAACGCCCGACCAAGATCCATCTGTCCGTTGAAAAGACCATAAGAGCATCACTAAAACGCTTGAGCTCCTTAATCCGGTTGCCTCCATCAGCAGTAAGATCTCAAACTTGAGCAACACGCGGAATGGGTCTGCAGAAGGCACTGTGGAATCGCGTCATAAATGAGTGCACGAGCTAATTTAGGCTTCACCGAAATGAAGCAAGCAGGTACCCGAGGAGGTCTTGAACGAAAAAGTGCTGCGATTGATGGATTAATGTGGTTGGCACTGCCACATAATGGAACCAAGTTACACACCTTTTTCTTTAAGCCGCGCTGATTAAGTTAGATCCAACTATGCAAAATTGAAAAGCTGTTCCAAGCGCAGAGACAGTAGCGTAGCGAATTACCCTATATTGAAAGTCGGAGATTTCAATTGATGCTTCAACCGCACAAGGCGGCATAACCGCAGTAACAGCAACTACAACTACCGCAGCACGAGTTAATTGATTTAAAAAAAACTTTGTTTTTCCTGTTTTTAGAAACCGATCAAATCGGCTAATTCGATTACTTCGAGTATAAAAGCGTAATAAAAAATGAAACTTCATGACTGCTGAGGGATAACAAAAGAAAAACAAGAAACAAAAGTGGGATGAAAAATAATAATAAGAAACACAAAACACGGTTACACGGTTTCAACTGTAAATGGTTTGAATTTAGCGAGAAAAAATAACATGTAAAAACAAAAGTACGAATCGAACCGAAAGTGAAAGATATGGAGTGGAGTAGCGAAATGCCAAACAACGACACGGCAACCATAATGGGGATATGGTATGGTTCACAAAAAAAAAACAAAACAAAATAAAACAAAAAATCCAAAAGGCATGATTGTGTGTGTGTATGTGTGTGTGTGTGAGAGAGTGGGAAAGCAGCAAACCACCTACTTACCTCGATCTTTGCTGGTCGATGACGGTTCGTCGTTGATGTCATCCTGGTTGAACTCGTTCCGCACATCCTGGATCGCTGCCAGTTCGTTCAAGCCAAAGTTTTGATCCCTGAAAGGAGGAGATTGGACGAGACGAGATGAAAAACAATCGAGGATTAACGGAGAGAAAGGCAATAAGATTGAGTAGCGTCATTTATAGTATATGGGTAGTTTGCATTAATGAGGATTGGCTGCCGGGATTATGAGGTTGCACATTTGTGGCCGCATCAGGCAGATGAGTGGTTGGCGCGTTTTCGCCGTTGCGAATTTTTAACGAATGACCTCATTCCATAAGTAAACAGGGTGAAATGTGGAACGAAGGGGCAATCGGATTATTGTGATGAAGATAGCTTTAGCCTATTGCATAAACATTTCATCGCGTCAAATTTGAATTTCATCAATTTGATTGCTACCCAGTGGATGCTTAAAGAAATGGCATCTGTTGAAAAGTGGTAATTTCTTCTTTGACGAACGCTCAATAAAACAAAATGGTATTTCAGTGAATGTGTCTTGGTAAATGTGTTGTTAGATCACAGCACTACACTACAAATCTTCAGAGGAAAACTGGGTTAGGTGATTAAATTGGGAATCGATTGTAATTTCTACTGATGTGGATTTTCGGCTTTTTAGTCCAACAATGGATCAAAACCACATTCATAAAATGCATTTTAGTCAATCGCTAGACTGAAAAGCCGATATCCCCATACTAAAGTTTGTTTTCAAAATCAGTATTCAGTTTATTTAACTTCAAAATCATGGTGGAAATTTGCTCGTACGCTTAGAGAGAAAGGGAGCTCTTCTCTTCGAAGGGCGCAGACTGTCTTAGCATCTGTTGTCCATGTAAGGGCGGCTCAAAAACGCGTCTGTTCTGGAGCTACCGTAAAACGGGGTAACATTGATACTTATTTTAAAAAGTATATTCTTAATATTTTTTACATCAATTAATGTTTTTCAATTTTTTTTAACCAGTACTGAGGATCCTAGAGTTAATTTGTAAGTAATATGGTGAACGGAAATTAAAGCATTTCTAGACAGAGCTGGAATTAGGGCGTAACAGCTTTTGGAATCAATGATTTTGCTTGATAATTTCTAGATAGTCAAGGCTCGTCTACGCAAATCAACATCCCCATCGGGTAGGGGAAGACTTTCCCTACCCGATGGTTATGTCGGTTTGCGTAGGCGAGCCTTGAATTCCTAGAAAACATCGAGAGAAGTCATTGCTTACAAAAGCTGTTACGCCCTAATTCCAGCTCTATCTAGATTTGCACTATTTTTTTAGTCTTGTGTCCGAACATCAGAGTTTTGATTTGGGGTTACTGTGATAATGTTCGATGCATGTAGAACTCCCTTATAAAGTGTACCCCGTATTCCCCTAATATCTCATGAACTGTTGTTTAAAGACATAGTATTCTAAAACCATGCATAAAGTGCTTATGTTTTACGAAAAATAGAGCTGTGAAAAAACATGTCCTCCAAAAATTAGGTGAAAATGGGGTAAAATGGTCCAAAACACATACCTACAAGGCTCTCCGGTCTATGGGACCACGTGCAATCGATTCCCCGGACGATTTCCCTTCGGAAAAGTTGTTTTTCATGGCCGAAATTTAGCGTGCTGTTGAGATATTGAATTTTGTGTAATTTTGGACCCATTTTTGCCCATAGTGCATTGATGGATCCACTGGCTTCGGCGTCTTCAATGAATACTCAACCGCCTTTCGAAAACTTCAGGAGCGTTGTTCTGTTTATGTCGTTGAGCTAGCAGCAATCAACTTCGCATTGGGGATGATTTCCGACATGCCCACAGACCATTACTTCATCTTCTCGGAAAGTCTCAGGTCGATTGAGGCTATTCGGTCGATGAAACAAGGTAGGCACCCATCTTATTTCCTTTCAAAGGTAAGGAAGCAGATGAGTTTGCTGGTCGAAAAATCATAAAGGATTACTTTTATATGGATCCTCTCACATTGCTCAATCCCAGGCAATGAGAAGGCAAACTCTTTCGCAATGGTGGACGCACAACAAGGCAAGATTTATGAAGAAGAATTTCACATGACGAATTTATCCCATTAGTACGTCAGAGTTCTCTTTTAAGTTGGCAAAACGATTGGACAAGTAATTCTCTTAAGCGGTGGTTACATTCCATTCCATAGTAGCACGCTTGTCACAAATCAATTGTAGAAACTTAAATACGACTTATTTCAGCCATAAACAAGTTGCTGTAACTTATTGTGATGAAAGTGTGCTACTCGGGTTACTCCAAATATTTCTTCGAGAGCGTGGTTCAAAGGTCTGGAGGTAAGTCGGAGCTTCATTCACGTGATGTCAAGACTTATGTCCAACCACTACTCGCTAGACGCACATCTCTACAGTATAATCCACGTTGACAGCAATATATGTCGGTGTAGAACCGGTTATGATGACATCGATCACGCAGTTTGGCATTGCCCGGGTAATGACGCCTCCAGAGCACGACTGCTGGATACCCTAGTGGCTCGAGGTAGACAACCCTTCCGTGAAGTAAGAGATGTATTGGGAACCCATGATCTTCTTTACATGTAGGCGATCTACGAATTCCTTTGTTTGTCAGGTGTTAGAGTTTGATGTGACCATCCCCTTCTTTCCACACATTTTCCAGCCATTGTGTCCCAGTCTTATTATCCACCTGTTTCTGTTCTATTTGCCCCTGCCCAGCCAGCATTGGTCAACCGTCGGAGAGCAGTATCTGAAGGAGGCTTCAGAAACTAGTTTCCTACCTAGCTCCTTCCAATCGAAATTGTTACCCATTAACCTCGAGCCCGCCACGAGCAATTGGTACCCAATACTAATCTAGAACTACTGCTGTTTAAAATGTAAACTCAAACTTTACTGACTTTTGGCTCCGCAAAATGTCACACAGGACTGAGCCTAGTAAATAAACGAAATATTTAAAAAAAATGCGTGACATTCAAAGCATTAAGTTCTTGACATTTGAAACTTTGAAAGAGTTTATAATCGGAAAACATCATAAGCAATAAGAATTCAACATTGAATTTGTGATAGCTATTTATATAGGAAAAACATTTCATAAGTGATGGTTTGTGTGCTTTTTCAAGCAGATGAAAACCAAGAAAATTGTTTTCTAATATGTTTGTAAAATATGTACACAAACTATATAAAAACTATAAACAATTTCAACGAAAATACCCTAAGCTACAATATGGAATCAATGTTTCAATTCGGAAAAAGCGCGAGGAGTAAATTCAATCAATACATTCTATTATCAAAGATACCCCGTTTTATGGAAATCTAAGGCTATTGCAATTTTTCTGAAACCCTTGCTTGGTACTGTCTTGAATTTCATTAAACTGTACTTTAAAAATTTCTAAGCTTCCATTAAGATCTCTGAGCTTCTGTGGAGTCCCCATAAATTTAGTGATATTTTTTAAAGTCACTGTGGTTCTGAAAAATTCTTGATAATCTGGGATCTTCTCAACATTTCCCGTTGTTTTTCGGAAACTAATAAATTTTCATAAATCATTCCATGATGCTTACGGAATTTCTTATTTTGACGTAGGACTACGTCTGTGATTTCTATATGGGGGTACACATTGTGAAAACCGAAAATGGAACATGTAACAAAATTATGAAAGATTTTGAACAATAATAACTCAGCTGCCCCTGGACCAATTTCATTAATTTTATCACCAATCGTTCTGAAATTTTTCAACGCGTTTTAGCAATGCTTACGACTGATGATTCTCAACAAGAAACTATTGAAAAAGTGGTAATGTCAAGCGCTGTCCAATGTACAAAAAAAAAGTGATAATTTTATCACTGTTTTCATGAAATAAAGGCTCATCCCAAACCCAGTCGTCATAATCGTCACTTGGTTGCACATCATTCTGCTTTAGCCTGAAAATATAGAATCATTATCGCTTCGGTGAGCAGGCAGTAGAAGCATCAATAGCAGCAGTAGGAAGGTGGTGGCAGGTTAGGTAGTCCATTCTTCTACCCAACAAGCAAAAATGACTAGTCGTAGCAAAGGAGGAAAAGATCTTGGTAAAGGAGGCGCCAAGCGTCATCGCAAGGTTCTTCATTATAACCACCATCTGTCGTCTGGTTCGCCGTGGCGGTGTCAAACGTATCTCCGGTGTGATCTACGAGGTGTGCTGAAGGTGTTCCTGGAAAATCTGATTCGTGATGCTGTCACCTACTCTGAACACGCAAAGCGTTAGCGGCCATGGATGTCATCTGCGCTTTGAAGCGACAAAGACGCACTCTGTACGGTTTCGGAGGCTTAACCATCATCAACTTTGGCAACAAAACTGTCCTATTCATAACAAGCTCATTACAGTAAAGAGTTGGAATATAATTTATCTGTGCCTGTTTATCCAAATTCAGAAATACATGCCCCCAACGACCACACAAAATGCTTTCCAGAAATGTAATCTTGCAACCAAACTTGGAAGCGATTCTCTTCATCAACCTTCTCTTTGGAAAAGAATACTACAAATTTGGTACGCCTACAATTCAAAAACGGAAAAAGTTAAGCTAATAGATGATTTATCAATTAAATGAATTAAATACTCTTCACATTTGTTTTGTCCACTAGCAGTCCTACGTCAAGCTTCCGTTCGTGCCCCTAGACACAGACCCTTCTTCTTTTCTTTCTTTTTTAATTTTTATTGATGTTTATGAAAATTGCCTGAACTTTTCAGGATGTATATAAAGGTTTCTGACCTTTCCTGTCATTTGAAGTTCTATTTAACTCTCACAGTTTTCCTGAAATGTAGCTTCCCTTGCGTTCTTTGGAATTATTTGAAATTTACAGAACTTCTAAGGTACCCGTAATTGATTTGAAACAAAAACGAAAAAATAGATGGGGTTCTATGATTTTTACCTAAGCTTGCACAATTTTTCTGACCTTCATGAAACCACCATAAAGTCCCTGATTATCCCAGAACTTCTTCAAAGTTCTTGCAATTTCTTTGAAATTTAGTGAACTGCTCTTATAATCTCTGATCTATCATAATGATCCAGAAGCTTCCCTGAAGTACTCTCAATTCTTCTGAAGTTTTTGGTATTGGCCTG